GGGCTGGGTGGGCACCGGCACCGGCACCGCGGGGACGGAGGCTGCTGGGGAAACTGAGGCACGCGGAGGAGAAGCCGCGTGCGCCAGGCTGGGCCACGGTGATGCCCGTCCAGCAGGCTTAACTACATAATCACCCGTCCACCAGGCTGGACCAGGGTGCTGCCCGTCCACCAAGTCACATGCTTGGGAGAGGTTGGGCGAGGGGTCCACACTGATACCTGGTTGAGACTTGCTGGGGCCCTACTGCCCCCCACCCCCAGCCCCAACACAGCTTGGCTGTCTGCTACTCTGCACCGGGTCTCCCCACACGTAGCCTCCCGTAGCGCACACCTGGGGTTTCATGCCGAGGACCAAGCCTCTCTCTGCAGCTGCGGAAGGTCTGAGCCAGAGGTGCTCAGCCTCCAGCCCCTGGGCCAAATGTGGCCGTGGAGCCATCGCATCTGGCCTGTGGGGCTCCTCACGGGGCCGGGAGTTTGGTGCTCAGATTCCACCCTGCCAAATCTCCAACCCCCAAGTGCTGCATGCGGCTGTGCCTCCTTCCCTCCACAGCGCCAGGCTACACCTCCTTCCTCGCCCGCCGCTGGATTGGGGCTGGACCACCCCCCTCTCCCTGCTTTCAGGATCAGGTGGAGGCTGGGTGATGCCCCCAACCCCACACCAAGGCTGGATGGGGCTGGGGGTCCAGTCAAAAGCCCCTTTTCTCCAGGGCTGGATTAAGGCTAGGCTGCCCCCTGCTCCCCCTCTGCATGGCTGGATGAGACCCGCTGCACCCACCCCTGGCTCCAGCCAGATCCAGCCTGCAAACAGAGCAGGCACTGCCTGTCCAGCCCACCAGACAAAAAGGCTGAGCACCACTGGTTTAACTGGTTGCAGGACCCAGTGAGGCAGAAGCAGAGCTGAATTTGGCAGTCCCCTGTGGAGAGGAGCTAAGAGAGCCCTGCTGCGGTAGGGACAGGGAGGAGCCTGTGAGGGGCCCAGTTGTCTGAGATTTAGCCCAGTGCACACCCTCTAATCAGGGGCTGTAGCACTGGTTATATCCCTGCTGTACAGCGGACTTTACTCCTACTGGTCCCCTATACAAAGCCACGATGTGGAGGTGCGGGATTGTCCTCTCCCTTCAGTTTTGCCCTCAGTTGGTCCCAATTTCAAAGTGCTGGCAGGGTGAAGGGAATCCACTCTGGTGCATACGATGAGGGGTGCGGTGAACTGGCCTGAAGCCACACCCCGGAGATGCTGGGTACAAGTTTATCACATGAAAAAAAGTTCAGCAAAGAGCCATCAAGTGGTAGAAAGCTGCAGTACCCTGTGATGGCTCCCTGAGGCAGGCAAGGTGGGAAGTGCCCACCTGTTCTACAGCAGGCACTACTAATGTATTCTTTGCTGAGACCTAGGGTGAGGGTTGTGTTCTTCCTTTGCAGGTCCTTTATGAAGCTCTCGCCCTGCTCCATAGCACTATGTAACAGGACCTGGATCCTCTTATTTGGGGAGTGAGGGAAGGGGAGAAGAGGGAACTGTGGCAAGGGCCCAGAGGCTCCTGCCCCTTTAGGAGGACACAGCAGGCTCAGCTGGCTGTGGATGCAGGAAGGCAGGTTGGCCCCTGATTGAGGGGGAAAACCCTGCACAGAGCTGGGGAAGGCACATGACCAAAACGGGTAGTGGCTTCCAGCCATATAAACACAGGCCCTGCGCCCAAGTGGTCAGTTGGGCTCTGGGAGCTGCTGAGGAAAGAGCTCTTGGGCAGGAGAGCTGCAGAGATTGCAGATGCAAGATTGCTTCTGGGGTTAATGCAAGTTGAACATTGTTGACTTGCAAGGGAATAGGACTCAAGGTAGGGGGGAGCTGAGTGATACTGCCAAGGAGCTGGGATTTGTGCTCAGACCCAGCTGGGAAGTTGCGTTATAGCTGGAGGGCTTATTTTTGGGTTGTGGCCAAAAAGAGGGGTGGGTAAGGAGGTCACAGGGGGGCATGTAAGGGGTGCACCTAGATTTGAACTAGAGTAGGGTGCCTGGGGAGGGGGCAAATAGAGGCTTAAGACCAAAGGGGTGCCTCAGTGGCAGAAGGTGTTTGGAGCCCTGCCAAGGGTTGGAGCTCATGACAGACAAGTAGAGGCTGGGAGGTTCAGGATCTAAAACTACATGAGCAGTACAGGTGGCTTGAGGCCAGGAGGGCTTAGGGTTGGAGCCTAGAAAGGGGCAATCAGGGGCCCAGAACAAAGAGACATGGGCCAAGGGCCCAAGCTGAGTGAGATGGAAGCTGGGCCTGAGGGAGTGGGCCTGGGCTGGCAGTCTGCAGCAAAGAGTGACCAGCAGGCTAAAGCTAAGGGGACTGATTCTTGTGTAAGCTGGTGCATAAATCTGATGTGACACCCATGAGACACAGGCATGACTATGGGGGAAGCTGGGGTGGAGGTCACGAATTTAGCTCTTAGGCACATAGGACTGGAGAGAGTGAATACCGAGATGGAGAGGGAAAGA